TTCACCCAATCTCAGACAAGTCTAAAAGTTGGGGCTGTTTATTTGAGTCTCTGTGAGTTCTAAACCTGCTAGGAACTCTATTTCTTCTTTTGGCTAGCACARAAGTATAATGATCTATTTTTGCATGCTACAACTTTATTTACAAAACATCCTTGCAAGAAGGAGCACCTGGCCCTCTGTGTGTGCTCACTGTGGAAGGGCTGTTATTAATTTTAGCCTTGACAGTGATGAGGAACTGTAGTTTCTTTACCTGCAGTGTGCACACACACATGCACAATTTATTTTTTGAAACCTTGAACTGTTTAGGGGTTTTTTAATGAAGTAAAAAGTTTTGACTCCAAGAACTGTTAGAGTTTAGGCACTGACTGCCATCACTTTGAGGAGACTTCCTAGAAAAGCTTCCACTGTGAACGTCAGAATGTATGAAAATGAGAGTAGCAGAGAAATCCATCATGATGGTACAGAGCTTCTTCAGTGGTCTTGTTTCTCAGAAATCATGGGCATTTGTGCAAACTGCCATTTCTACWTTGTGGCTTTAAATGTCATTCACCCACAAACTTGCTGCCAATTATATCTCTGAGCAGAGACAATAGAATGGAAACCACTCCTAAGGCAGTGAACCRGCCTAGGTGATTTCTCAGAAAACTTGTCTCTGACTTGTAATGYGACACGTATGGGGACAGAGACCCCAAAAACCAAGTCTCTCTTTTTTTTCTGTCCTGTCAGAGCAGAGTAATAATTCAATCATCTGAGGATGAAATGGTTACAACCATTGGTGAAGCATCACTTGTACAAAGACCCTCAGAAAAACATTTTACAGCTCGTGTGAGTAGATGGACCAAATGTCTCAAGGTGTCATGAACTGCAGAGAGGAATGAAATTAAAGGCTTTCCTAGAGAGTTACTRATTACTAATTACTGACACTAATTCACAGAAGGAATGAGAGAGCATCCTCCCCTTGGCATGTGCAGTGTTTAGGTATTATTCCCATTAGAGACAGGGAGTGTAGCAGAGCATTTCTAATATCTCCAGTGGAAATCTCTGGGGCTATGGATGTGTTCTCCACAGAGAGCTTCAGACATGTGCCACTCAGTTGGTGCAGTCAAATACCACCAAAAAGCAAAAGAATTGTTCTTGTGAAAGGGGAATCAGCACCATCCAAAGAGTTCATCCAGCTCTACCAGGAATTAATTACACAGAGTGGAGTCACCTCCCATCCACAACTGCACAGAAAATCTGCTTGTACCTGACAGACTGTGACAACACTGTACAATTTTAGTGTTAGGACAAAATGTTTTTTTCCCTTCAGTCAATATTTAGGCTGGTTATTTTATTTCGATTTCTTAAACAAAAAAATTATGTGAGATTCTTGTAGACAAGGCAGGATGCTCTGGCTAAATGAGACAATAATGTATTATTAGTGATTTACTAAAAAGTAAGTTAGAACTTTTTTGAGACTTCAAATGAAATTGGAAAGACTTCTTGCATGTTGCACCTAACCAGTACCCAGTCATTACAGAAGGGTTTAAAATAGTGTGGAAAACCATGCAAAACAACAAAAATACTGCTAAATTTATATGACAAGCAATAAAAGAATTMATTAACTAGTGCAGGAGCATATTAACAAAATATGTCAGATTAAAGAAATGGCACCAATGAAGCATTTTCAGCACCTCAAAGCTCAAAGCTGTGAGAAAACCAAATCTGTGAACTACCGAAAAAAAAGCCCCTGCATGTTTTTGAGTTAATTGCAAACTGCTAATGTATTTCAAGTTGAGTGTTATAAAGCATTCAAAAAGAAACTAAATGTTTTGGAAAACAAGTGCTTACAAAAACTTGCATACCATGAGTGGAAATAGGTTTTTCACTAACACGGGGACCTTGAGAAATCAGCAGTTGGCGGCTTCTCTTCAGCAGAACCAGCAGTGCTGGGCATGTTTTGGTCAGATTCTCTGAGTTCTGTAACAGAATGTGTCCTGCATGAGTTATTGGATGGGAAAAGAGGCAGAAGCAGCAATAGGTGAGAGAAAGTGGCTCCAGACAACTCTCCCAGTGYAGATTTTGGACATAGATAACTTAGCACTGACAGCTGCTAGGAGCACATAAACACTGGATTGCAGCATAGTCAGTGGAGACTTTCCAGTGTCCTACAAGAACCTACTTCTCTCCTGTATCCTGACCCCCTGCAGAACCTTTTGTGGCTCAAACTTGGCTTATCAGCCTCCTTGGCACCTGAGTTCAGGCACATCCTTGTCAGACACACCAGAGTCAAGGGGTTAAAATGCTTTTCACAGCTGAATTTTCCTGAGTCTACAGACTCCACCAGCACTTGTCTACACATGCTGGCTGATTTCTCTAGCTTTGAGAATAACCAGAATTATTTCTGATGAGCCCTTCCCTTCCCAGGCCAATCAAACCAGACCTGACCCCTGAGTCACTCCAGATGTGTTTTGTACCCTGCCTGTTGGGTTTTTTCTGCTTCTGACCTGTTGTCCTTGCTCAGCTGCCCCAGCTCCACCCCAGTTCCACAAACCCTAACACTGGAGCTGCAGCTGAGGCTGCTTTGCTACAGTTCCTGTCATTCATCCCATGGATGGAGCTGGGGGCCTCACCAATACCCAGATATGTTCTCATTGCTGTGGGTCCCATCCTAGCATCAGAAYTGCCCTTCCCACMTTTCCTTGAAAACCATTTTCCTCCCCAAAGGAAGAGACTAGAGATGGGAAAACAGCAAAGGCAACAGAATTAGTCCAGAGCAGTTCTGTCTGCAACCTGGGGGTGAAAATTTTTCTCCTTTCCAGGGAAGCTCAGAGACTACACTGCATCTTTAGAGTGCTCCAATCTTGTTGGGCAGCCAATAACCAATTCTTCCCTGACACTCCAGAGCTCATTCCCCCAGCAGTTCATTCACCAYTGCTTGGGTTAATTGTGGTGCTGATTTTCTACCCTTCTGCACAGGTACAGCCCATGAAATGGCTCAGTGTATATAATTTTCCTCATCAAGGTGTTACTTTTTAAAAAAAATTATTTACACGAAGCTAAAAAAACCACCTGCACTCCTGTTTCCTTTCACAGCTGTTTTTTTTTTCACCATTGTGGTTGTGTTTATACAGTGGTGCTGCTACAGAAAGCTGATCTCAAATGCCACTTTGCTCATTGTGAACCTCCTGCATTGGCTTTCAGGAGTTTTGCTCTTTATAACTAAACCTGCCCCTTGTTCCAAAAATGAAAATGTGATGAAAGGTGATTGGCTCTGCTCACCTCAGTTCCCAGATTGGTATCTAATTTGAGGTTYTTCCTCAGCTCTTCACCCACCCTTGAGCTGGGCTTTTCCAGGGTCTAAGCCAGAACTGGTCCCACCACCAAGTCTAGCACAGTTCAAAAAAAGTTTGGGCAGTGCTCTGAGACATGGAAAACAGAGGGTTTGAGGGGTTCTTTTCTATTTTCTTCAGTGATTGGTTTTGGAAAGAAAAACCTCACATGCAGATTATGCAATTAAAGTGGAAAGCAGTTATCATGCTGTCTAGTGTGATGCTGTAAGGAGTACGTTTTAGAGTATTCCACAAAAAGCCTTGATTCAATATTAAAAACAACAACAACAAACCACAAAAGAAATATCAATTTATTTGTAAGATACATGAAACAGTTTTTAATATATGTATGAAAATATCAAGTAACTGTACAAAGCCCCATCACAAACACAATTTATCCAGGTCTGCTGAAGACAGCACCTCTGCTCTCCAGATGAACCTGCACCAACCACCCCCAGCGAGGGGATTTCTTCCTCAGTCTGATTCAGAGCATGTCATGAGTGATATCTGGAGAAAGATGGGCTCTCCTGAGGGGCAGGATTGGCGTGGCAATCTGGGATCTTGTCAGAGCTCAGCTCTGGAGAGGAATTATCCTCTATGCCTGGCTCTACTCCAGCTATGCACTCATCGACGACAAATTGACCCTAATCCCTCAAAAAATAAACAATTACATCAATAGAGAAAAACTCCAGTCTCAGCCTGTCCCCATCAATCCTGCCCTGTACCAAGGCAACTGAACATTCCTCCGGGCATGGAAGATTGTTGACTTTCCACAGCAGTCCCAACACTGCAAAACCAAAACACCCCTGGAGGAGGCCAAGCCCTTCCTCAGCCCAGTTCCCCACAGCGACCTTTTCTAAGATGTTACTGAACCAAGTTTAGCCTCTTCTTGCCTGATGGGGGTTTTGATAAATACCTTTGATAAGAAAGGTTTTTAGATCAGCCCCACCCGTGCCCAGATTGGAATGCAGACATTTACTTTACCCCAGATTATTTCACCTTGTGTTGTTTAATGTGGAGTCACAGAGCTGGGGAAATGCATCCTGCWGGGAAGCCCTAAGGGCTGAGACAACACCAGCACATCACAAATATTTCTGCTGTCCCAAGAAGCCACCATGCCCCAAATTTAGTCACTTTGCTGGTCAGCCACATCAAGACCCCCATYAATCATGTCAGTACCTCTGACAGAGGCAGTAAATTAAAATCAAGACTTGATTGTGTTTTYGTGGGACCATTTTGACCTTGGAGCAGGTGAGCACACAGGTATCCAGCACTTCTCTCATGATGCACCCTGCCACATTTATGAAGTTTCTTCAAAACAGATTTCCCTGCTGTAATTTTTGACTTGTTTTAGCTGTCTGAACTCTTGGGCAGACCCTGAAGATCCATGAGAGAGCTGGAATCCATGCCTCAGTGGATCCATTGCAAACTMTTGAACATACCTGTGTGGTCTCCTGAGCACTTACCAAAACTCAGAACCAGACTCTCCATCCATCACATCTTCCCAGAAAGGATCATTCATCAGAAAAACAAGCCCCTATGTTGCATTTAGCCCCAAAAAGCTGCTTTTTCACACCAAACAGCAGACACGGGTACAGGGTACCTGCATTTCATTACATTTTCTGTACATTACAAAAAAACAAACAAAAAAAAAAACAGTAAAAAGTAGAAACAGCCTTGGAAATGAGATTTTTTTCTTTCCACTGAGTAAGGTGGTGATAGCAATTTCAGTTGAGCCACTACATCAGATGGTTGCAGCAGCTCTCAGAGCCACCTATAAGGGAATGGTCAATGCATACGTGGTCCCAGCTGGCTCAAGTTTCTCTGCAAAAGGTGTTGGTTCTGACCAGTGTGTTACGTCTGGAATTGAAGGACATGTCTTCATATACTACATTGTGCTTTTTCTTCTGGAATTGTTTCTTCACCTGCAAAACAAAGAAAACAGCCATTAAAAACACAGCCTGGAAAGACCCCAACCAAGGATTCATTTTCTATCTTAGGAGTCCATCTACACCATCTGCTGGAAGAGGAAATGTACTTTTAAAATTCCTCTTGTGACCCAGTRAGGTCTTAGAGGACCAAGTGGAAATTGTCAGCTTATTTATTTAACTTTCTTTTATGAGTCTGATGCAATTCCACATCCTTCAACAGTTGGATGTAACTGTAGGTCTGACATAAATAAGGCTCATTCTTAGACTGTTATTGTAACTCAAGACACCAGTTCCCACTGGGCTTTGACAGAATGATGTTACACTACTGGTTTTTAGCAGTGCTGRATCCACAAGTGGAGGGATGAGACAGGARCCTGTGAATCCTACACYTAATTTTTAATAATCTTTGTGAACRGAAGGATTTRTCAGAGACAAATAATTTCTGGGCACTTTCTGCTGTATATGAATAAAAATAATCTCAGTAAAGTAAAAAATATTAACTTTTTTTTTCTAGAGTGGGGAATTTTTTTTCCTAGCTCTGCTTTGAGACATCAGGCTATTTTATGAGTTTTTGTTGCCCTTTTGTCCCCTTCAAGCATTCTCTTACATCTCTTACAAGCTTGCTATGTACAGCTCTAGTTCCAATTCACAAAAGATTTTTAAAAAGCAAGCAAAGCAGAACAGCGAGGGGCTTTGTTCGGGGATACACACACAACACATGGCTGTGTCAACCACACAGCTCACTTGAGGTTTGCTATCAAAAGACAAACAATATCTCATTTACAAAGGGTTACAGAAACGTAAGACACTGTGTGAGCTGCCAAGAGTTTACAGCTGGAAGATATTAAACAAGGGCAAATTGGAGAGCAATAGGAAGCCACAATTCCTTAGGTTTATCAAACATTTGCTTGACTCAGTCACTATTTCAAAGCAGTATCTAACTTGYCCTGATTCAGTTTTGCTGTGGTGCCAGCATTACTTACATTCACACGGTACAAGGTGCAGCACACCAGTGCACAGAACAGCAGTGCCACCACGATGATCAGGGCATACAAACCCCAGGAACGCTTCGAACAYGCCTGCTCCACTTCTGCATTTAAAGTTACAGTAGTATTATTAGAAATATGAAGAGGTAGAATTTTATTTTTATTCTGGAAAAAAAAAATTAYAGGTTAACGAAAAATTGGGTATCAACCCCTTCACAGTCATGTTTGCCATCCCTTTAGTATTCTCACTGGCATTCCCTGTGCCCTAGCAGAGGCTGGGGATGGCTGCAGGTGGACTGTGGAGGGTCAGCAAGGAGCACTCCACAAAGGCAGCTTCCTCACCATTGAAAGGATCACATAACCATAATGGGAACAGAAAATGTTTTCCTGCAGTGTTACTGCAACCCTGAGGGCTTTGGAGGAGCAGGAGGATGCTGTGGTGTGAAGTAAACTGATCATAATAGGGTTGGTGGAAAGGTTTCCAGCTCCCTAGAAACTCAATTAATCTATACCTGAATAACACACTAATTACTAATCACCCCTTTGTTTTATTGTGCTACTGCCATTTGCCCCACCTCACTTTATTGAGTTGTTGTCCCAGTTATGGGTGGTGGCACAGAATGAGACCACAGCCGCCTTTGCAGATTGCAGGAAAATCCTTTACACCCCTAAGGGCCTTTGTAAACCTTATTTTACAAAGACCTCAGCATAATCCAGTGCACAGGGTTAAAGTCATTGGTAAGATCAAAATCAAGCACTCTACTGCTGGTTCTGACTGCAGCTTAGTAAATGGGTACAGCACCATCCGGTAGGAAAAAAAAAATCCTCTTTGGAACACAGAAAAATCAGGCCCCTTCTTCAGAGCACACACTCACAGAGTGCTCAGTGTGTAACAAGGTTGTGTGAGAACATCTCTACTGTGGGTCTGTGGAGCTTGAAGCAAATGCCTGAGGACTTATTTTGTTCTCTCTAGTGTGATCTATTTATAAACACAAGACTTGCTAGAGGGAATGGAACCTAAAAGCTGTTTATGTGTCATTAAGGTCAAAGAATTGGTGCTAAAAATACTTACTCAGATCCTAAAACTGACATTATTAATGCACACACAGAAATGTTTGTTATCTTGTTTTGACCTTTTTTGTCTTTTTCTAAGATGAAGGATGATAGCAAGGTCTGAATTCCCCTCTGGTTGTACAAGGCATGTAGAAACASAGTTTGTTTCTGTATCCAAGTTCAATAGGGCACAAAGGAGCCTGAACTCACTCTCTAAACTTTCCGAGGTTTGCCTGTTCTGACTAAAGCTCCAACAGCTTTYTGTCCACATTTTGCACTACAACACAACAGTTATTATTTATGATTAAACAAGCAAAAGGGTCRTACCTTGAACTAGCACCATGGTGCCGCTTGCTGAGAGCAGAGGGGACTTTTTCACAGCCTCAGCACAGACATAATTATCACTGTCATTTTTCTGGAGGTTGTATAGAGTTATCACTGTTTTATTTCCTTGTCTTGAATAGTCCAAGCGATTCTCAAAGGCAGGAGAAACCTCTGGCACGTTCAGATTTGACACATACAGAACTTTTCCAGGCTGCACGTGAGTCCTGAGCAAGTAGAACCCCTCGTCTTTAGGTGAGCTTTTCAACCCACAGGTGATGCTGACAGACTGGCCTTGCCCAGGGTTGGCATAGAGTGGTGACTGCTCCAGAGCCCCACTGGAACTGGCTAAAAACAAGAGAGATTAATAGCTATCACATGCTTAACACGGTGTATTTTAACTGGGGAGCCAGGGCAGAGGTCACAGACAGAAAGAACAGATCATACAAATTTAGATTAAATGAATTTTTAAGCAGGCTCTCTTCACACATGCTTTGAGAAGAAGCATGTTTTAGTACATCCTGGCATGCTTTCCTGCCTCAGGATCTGAAAGCTGGACTGACCAACAGGTTTAGCTGTTTGTAAAGGGTCTGCGTCTACCTAAAAAAAAATATACTGATCTCTAAGGGAATACAGGCTGATCAGCATGTCCTTGAGACAGGCATCATTGCCTGCTTTCTCAAGTCAGATAAAGCCATAGAGAGATCTGGGAGTTATTGGTCTGGATCAAATAATCCAGTGTGATTTCATCAATGTTGAAAATGGAGTGGTTGTTAATGACTCACTGTCCAGCTGGGAAGACATTCCACTGAGCTCCTCTGAAGATAAGCCTTGCTCCTTTTAACATTATCATTAAAGTGCACAAGGGAGTGAGGACAGAATTTATGTTTGTAAAGGAAAGGTTGTAAGCATTTCAGAGAAGAGGATCAGAATTAAAAAGAGTTATAAAGCAATTTAATAAAATCATTTGGAGAGACAATACAAAATAAACAAGATGTGGTTCATTTGAGAAAACACAGCCAAGAAGTTTGAAAGGAGAAGCCTAAGGGAGGAGACAATAATCCTTCATGGATATAAATTACTGTTGCTGATCCAGCAATCAATTTGATTTCACATGCCTTGGGGACAGGAAAGGAAGAAAGCTCTGAAAGCTTTGCAAAAGATGTTTCAGGTTAGAAGGTCTCATTGGAAGAATGGGTACATAGARGAATAAACAGCCAAAGAATAGAGTGGACTCAACCCTCTTCTACTGGAAAAAAAATAAAGACAGAAAAATTGTTCCTCCAACCAGAAACAACTGCCAAAAGGACCACTTCTGCCTATTCATCAACTCCTTACTAACAAGAGAAGAAACTCTTTACCTATCTTGCCAACTCTGCTGAACACCAGCTTCCCAATTATTACCAATTTGTCATTTAAGATGAATCAGTAAGAACAAAAGGGATTTGCAAAAACTACTACCAAAAAATGACTCTTTGCTCTTCTAGTTATTTGTAAAGGTTTGACGGGTTATTTTAGAAAGAGCTGTGGGACCTCACTGTTTGCAAACCTCCTCAGCAAACTATGACTCATGTGAAAATCTGCAGTTGGAATTAATAAGTCACAAATTAATGTTCGAGGGTGGTTTGGGGTTTTTTTTTGATACCTTACTATCTATTGTGTTTTCTTCATTGTTTCAGAGAACAAACCCACACTTTCCTTCAAATCTGTACATGACCTGAGCAGAAGCAAGGAAAAATTCTGTCAGACTCATCCTCCCACTGTGTTTTCTTCCAAACTTTGATTTAAAATATAGATCTGTATTAACTAATTCATGACATACAATGTGTAATTGCAATACCTTTGACCACTACTATGGTTGTCTTCCCATATAGTTTTTTGTGACGGTCATTGATTTTAACAATCTCAGAGCATAGGTAGATATTGGAATCAGATTCCCGCACATCATGCAGGGTTATCCTGAGATTCTTCCCTTCCTTTGAGTACTTGATGCGATTAACCAAGGCAGGATAGATACTTGAACGATTCTGGTGTTGAGGAACATATATCACATTSAGATTCTGTCTGACAGATTGCAAGTACATCCCCACTTGGTTTTCTGAATTATTCACTGAGCAAGTTATGCTGATGGAGTCTCCTTTCCAAGCACTGATAACAGCTGTAGGCTGGTCATTTCCTCCACCTAAAAATAAAAAATGTAATTGAAATTGTAATGTCAGAGTTCCTCTTGGTCTGTTCATATYAAAGYAGTTTCAAAACCAACTCCTCCATCAACAGAACCTCTCTGTAAGACTGGACCTCAGGCTCCCTGTGCTGGAGATGTCATTTCTTGGCTGCCCTGGCACCTGGAGTGCTGCTCATGCCCTTGGAACTGAAATACTCAGCATCTTCCCCAGCTTCAAAGGCCTTGGCAAAAAAGTGGCTTCTGTCACTCACACAGAAAATTTAATTCTCTCTACAGATTCCCAGGATGATCTGATTCGTTCTCAAAAGACAAGTTTCACTAAACTCAGCCTGATAATTKGAGCTGGTTTCAGATCTAAATCAGGAATRYAAAGGTAAGACAAAGTGGCAGAAARTGGGAGAAAATTTTCTTTTGTCTTTTTAACAAGATCAGGGAGCTGSATAACAGAGACTCTCAGGAAGAGGGCTACAGAAGGTGTGAGCCAAAKCTWTGCTAAGAAAAAGGATACRAAAATAAATAATGAGACCCTGGGARCTCTCCAATAACCCCAATATCCAAAGACATTGAATGGGAAATACTTGCACAATGAATAGTGAGAWACAGATGGATCAAATGGGGGACACCCAAAAGAAGCTACATCAGAAGCAAGGGAAGAAAAATTAGACAGCATTCCATGTCTAAGACAAATACAGTTTCGAAAAGATTGGGAAAATAAGAAAGAAAAGATTGAAAAATAGAAAATGTAAGCACATTGATATTGTACGTACCATCCGAGGCAGGGAAGCATGGGAGAAGCAGAAGAAAGAAGGATGCAGTTGGGAGAGATGACATCCACAGCATTTTCAGGGTCTTTTTAGTTGTTCTCGCAATCTGACTGATGAGTTAAACTTCTGAGGAAAGAGTTGTAAGCCCCAGGTTGGTCCATTGCCTGACAGCTACATGAGCTGTCTACTGAACAAAGTCAGCAGAGTTTTGCCTTTGCCTTTGTATCACCACAATGGTGACAGCAGGGGTCGAGCCATTTCTCTGGGAGGTGCCTCTTGGATTTTTCACACTTACACCACCCCTGGTTTCCTGCTGTTGATGAGCAGCCCCCAGGGCAGCAATAGAAAGTAGTCTGTGGTGAGCACCTACCTCCCTTTGAAGACAACTGAGAGAAGGGAAGCTCAAATTTGCTCCTCATGGTGCCAAAGTCAGGCATTTGTCCCCCAGTTGTGGCCTCCCTGGAAGGGAAGGGGCTTGGTACAATAAATTCAGTTTGTCAGGGCTTCCTGGGGCTTAGATTGGTGGATGCAGATGCAAAAGTCTTGGTTTTGTAAGGAGAAAGGGTATGAGAGATTCTCCATTCCTACCAGAAAACCCTAAATTATTACACATGCCCAGCACACAAACAAGCAGGTTTGATCCAAATCTTGGCAAAGACAACAYGAATCATTCCCAAGCTGGAGTTCCYTCAGCAAACACCAGCCACTYACACCCAGCTTCCCCCAGGTCAGACCTGACCCATAAAGCAGCCCACCTGAGATCACAATCAGGGGAAAATGGATTTGACAGGAAATCTGCAGAGCCCTAACCAGCCACACAGTGTTTTGATCTTGTTGTTAGAAAGATTGATTTGATCACTACCTGAAACTCTCAACCTTTTCCTTCTCCTTTAACTTCATAGCAAAGCCAAGACAATAAATAATTCCAATCTTTACCAAGACAATAAAGTCTTTTCCACCATAGAAAGTACTGTCTTAAAACTTAACTTGCAACCCAGAGAACCGATTGTATTCTAGAAGACTATTTAACAAGAAGCACCAACAATTTCTGAGAGAACTGATTGTGTCTAAGACAGGAGCATTTAAAGAAGACAGTGTGAGTACCTCACACGTTGTTGGTGCCCAAGGAGCCCTTCATGCCTCTTCCATTCCCTTCTCCAAGTACCTGAGCAGCCTTTCCAGCCCCCAGTTCCTTCAGCTCCTCTTCCAGAGGTCTGCCCAGCACATGAGAAAGTCACCTGAAACCCAGAGAAAAAGCAGATAACCAGCTCCTCCCCTCTTTAAAATGTAACTAGATATAATCATCACCTAATTACAAGAAATTGAATTTTCACTTTTACTTTCAGAGCAAAAGTCAGCAGTTTCACTGAACAATGGACACCATTCAGGCAAGTCCATGCTGCTGTGTGGTTCATTGCAGTGAGAAAACCATGGGAAAAAAACCAATCACATTCCCAAAATCATCCCAGGAACCTGCCTAGGGGTACCTGGGCAGTCACCCTGTCCCTCTACATACTGCAGCAGAGATGTGAACAGACTGCATTTCAGATCTGCTCCTGAGTCTGGCACTACCTGCCCATGCAAGAGGGCCCTGGGTCAAGAAGTTCAGGGCCTGTAAGCCCAGGGTACAGATGAGGGTAAGATCTGCTGCTTTCTTCTCTCTTTTATCAGTGGGGTTTTTGGTGTGGCAAGGAGGAAAATCAAACTATCAAAGCAGATTTTCCCACTCAGCAAATGCAGCACAAGGCTACAACAGGGATTTGCCCTGGAGAGTGCCTGACCCTCTCCTTTCCCCTCTTGCCTACAGCTCCAGGTATCTCCACACAGCCACAAGATCTTTGCCTTGACACACATGATGAGCTGTGAGGGTTTTTCACCCTGTGCAAGCTGTGCCTCAGCCCAACCCCAGCAGCAGCCCCACCCTGGGCTGCCATAAACTATAGCTGGACCTGAGAGAAGCAATGCTCCCTCCCAGCCCACAGCTCATCCTTTCACCAAGCCCCTCTCTCCTCCACCCTGGCTCTCAGCACAGTCTTTTTAACAAGGACTTCACATGGAGCTTCTGTTCCAAACAAACCTGTGCCCGTCACAAGCAGCTCAGGTTGCTGCACACTCACAGGTACTAAAAGCAGCCCCTGGAGCAGACATCTCACTGCCTGCTGCTGGTTGGGCTGGGCTGAGCTGCTCACCCCGAGCTGACCCACCACCCACTGCACCTTCCGCGCCCTCTGAAACAACCTGGCACTCCTCATGGGCTGTTGGAGAAGGAAATCATATCTGACAGAGCAGTCTTTGGCCAATCAGTTCATAATGAAACCAAAAGAAGCCCAAAAGTGCATGATGCAATCTCTGAGTGCATGGCACCAGATATCCTCTGCCAAGCAGATAAGGGGGGAAATAATAAGACCCTTGGAGTTTTCCAATGACCCCAATATCCAAAGAAACTGAACAGGAATACTTTGCAGAAAATATCTAGGAAGAGAGGGAACAAATGGGGAACACCTGTTCAGAATGCAGGTTTGAGAGTCCTTGAAAAATCTCTGCAAAGGGATCAGTAAAATCCAGATTTGAAATTAAGCACCACTACAACAAATTTTGTTGGCAAGGTTCACTCTGCTACTGACTGGATTGTTCAGGCACTCTGAGAGAAAAATAAGCTACAAACAAAATCCAGTTAATGATAACAGAAATGAACTCAGAATTATCTGCATGTGTGTGTGTGTGTGTGTGCATGTGTGACACAAAGACAGTGAGGACAAGGATAAAAAGGAACATGGCCTAAAAGCTTAACAGCACTCAACTTAAAAGGACTTAACTTACACCTTAAAAATAACAATTTAGCAAAGGAGAAACACTTAACASCATTTAACCTAACTTATAACAGATATTAAACTTACTTACAGGCATAACTCCTTAGATATCTCAGGTGTTTAAAGACTTAAGAGAGCAGCATTTCTCCTGTGCCATCACACCTGCACACAGATAGAAAGTCAGAGCAGGGTCCCTGTGAGAAATTCCCCTCGAGGGCAGGGAAATGCTCACTCCCGATGCTTTTGCATCTCCCCAAGGGCCCAAGGGTTGAGCCTGGAGCAGTGGGGGATTGGCCCAGGCTCTGTGGTTGTTCAGGATCCCCGACAGCAGCACAGGGAGAGTTCCCGGCTCCCAGAGCCCCACGGCCCCGGAGAGCTCCAGGGGTTCCTTTGGCAGTGCTGCTCATGGGGCACACCAGAGGGGATTTAGGCACAGCAATGGCTCATCCTGGACAMACTTGGGACCTGCACACTTTCTTTGGAAGTGTGAGAGCAGGGGTGTTGTGCTGTTCAGGCAACAAAAATAATTCTCAAGGCCATTCATAAAAAACCTCAGGAGCTCATTGGACAGAGCAGTTCATGGGACCAGAGTGTGTTCCTGATAAACTCAGCAGAGCTGAGCCAGGGGCTGTTCATCAAGGCCGAGGTCCAATGACCATTTCTCAGATCTCAGTGCAGCCTGGAAAAGGAGAGGATTCACCACCACACAATGAATACAGTGTTTATGCTGAAGTTATGTTTTATTATTACAACAGCTCAAATCAAATAAGAACCTTCCAATTATGGTATTTGGGAAGTCAGGCCCCTTACTATTATTTGTAATTTTTTAATTTCATAAGACAAAATAAGAYGATCTTGATTACCTTCTAACACAGATCATTCCATGAGCCTATGATTAAAAATATATGCCTCTATCTGTATGTTGCAAAAGCAAAATGCACTTACTGATGACAAACACTGTCAATTTTTTAAGCATGTTATCACTGCTTTTCCTGAGATGTGGCACCTGTGATATCCAACAGCAAAACACAGCTACAGAGGGGAAAAGTGGAACAGTTGGTAGTGATGTCCCCCATATCACAATTGAGATAATCACCCATTGGAAGAAGAGATGTGGAGGAAAGATCATTTGAATGAGCCATAAAGATGAGTCCATGACCTGTGTCTCATGACCCACCAAAAACCCAGTTCATGCCAAAACCCAGTTCATATCTGGATCACCAACACAACAAGTTCAGTAAATACCTACAAAACTTGGAATTTGTGGATTGCCAACACTTCAGGAAGTTTTGACAGCGTATCATCACACTAAAGCAGACAATTTGCAGCATATCACCTGAGAGCTGAGGTAAAAGTATGAGCACAAAGCCCTGACTGGGAAGGGGAAAAAACTCTACCAACCCATAAMAGCACTGGTCTCTGACACCAAACAAAAGGGAAATTAATCACAGATGCTCTCGTATATTTCTAAATTAATTTACAAATATRTTTGGATGTCTTACATTATGAACTTCTCACTTTAGATTTGACTGAAGCAAAGTTCAAGAGAGACACAACATCCTACATCCTTTGGAAGAGGGTGCTGCTGGCA